CTTTGTCCTACCATCCCAATGCTCCTAAGGTCACAAATAATTTGTGGTTAAGTTTTCCCTTCCCTCTCTCATCTCCTAGTAACTAATTATGTTGACTTAACTGTTTTAAGTACATCTATGACTTTTATCCTCATCCTGCTATTCCAGCAGTCCTAAGGTCACACATAATTTTTGGATAATTTTTTCATTTTGTTGTCAGGATAGTTTCTGCCAGAGGTCAAGGCAGGCATGACAATTAAATTTTGCATCTCTGAATTCTTTCATAACAGTTTCATCTTGCACTCTCCGTTTCAGCAGCTCCCTGAGCTACATCTCAGGAACAAGAAACAGCTGACTGTGAGGCAGTTGTTCATAAGCCACCAGTGACTATTCCCATTGGAATCAGTTTTGGTCAGACTGAGAGGGACTACAGCTTTAAAATCATTATACAGGGCAGCCATAGGCAAATGAAGAGGGGAGTGAAAGGAGGGGAGGGAAGAGAGAGAAAAAATATATATGGGCTGGAGCAATAGCACAGTGGGTAGGGCATTTGCCTTGCACGTGGCTGACCAGGCCAACCCAAGTTCAATTCCTCCACCCCTCTCAGAGAGTCCGGCAAGCTACTGAGAGTATCTCACCAACACGGCAAAGCCTGGCAAGCTCCCTGTGACGTATTTGATATGTCAAACACAGTAACAAGAAGTCTCACAATGGAGGCATTACTGGGCCCACTTGAGCAAATTATGAATAATGGGAGGACAGTGACAGCGTTTCAGGTGACATCCAGCGATACACAAGGGCTACTCCTGGCTCTAGGCTCAGGAACTACTCCTGGCAGTGCTTGGGAGACCATCTGGAATGCCGGGGATTAAACCCGAGTTGGCCACATGCAATGCAAATACCCTACCCTCTGTACTATCGCTCTGGCCCAAGAGAAAATCAAATTATTAAAAGAAATACTGACCTAAATTCACATTTGGGTAATGGTGGGCAGACAACTGGAGTGCTCAGGATTTAATTCCTGACTCTGTGCTCAGGGATCACTTCTGGTGGGAATCAGGGAACCATATGGGATACCAGGGATCCAATTGAGGTTGCCCTACAAGGCAAGCATCTTACCTGCTGTTCTATCATTCCTGTCCTAATTTCACATCTTATATAAAAAAAATTCAATATAAATACCAGAGTTAAAATGAAAACAATTTCAGGACTAAGGCCAAATAGCACAGGAGTAGAGCACTTGCCTTGCATGAAGTCACAGTGGCTGTGACTCTGGTTCAAATACTGCCACCCTCCAAGCCCCTGATACCACATATGGTTCCCTAAACACTAAGAGCAATAGTTCCTGAGCACGACCAGCTATCGTCTCAGCCCCCAAGTTCCTGAAGAAAATCTTAAGATTTGGGCTGGGCAAAGATTTGTAGACTTGACAAGCAGAATACATAAAAGAAAAAGTTAATAACTTGGACATCAAAAATTTCAATTTTGTTCTACAAAAAATACTAGTAAGAAGCTGAAAGAAAACTATGGCTAGAAAATTATATCAGCAAAGCACATATCAGAGGGTTGTTATCTAGAACTTACAAAGAACTTTCAAAACTCAGTAATAAAAGAATAACCCAATTAGAACACCGGCAAAAGACATAAAAAGACACTAAGGAAGAAAAATAGCTAAAATACAGAAAAATATTTAATTTAATTGTAATTAAATGCAAATTAATACAAAAATGAGGTATCACTGCACACCTATCACAATGATTAAAATTAAAGAGCAACTGCTGATGAATATTTGGGAAAACTGAGTCATTTATATATTGCTAATGCTAAAGAAAATAAAATGGGACAGCAATTTTGGAAAAGGTGCTGGCAGCTTTTCTACAAAATTAAAAATGCATCTATCATTTGGCCTAGAAATCCACTGGGTATTTATTTCAGAAGAATTAAAACTTGCATTCACACAAAAACGCAAATCCTAGCAGCTTTATTTGCAGTAGCCCCAGGCTGGAAGCAACCCAAATGTCTTTCACTGGGTCAACTGTTGAAAACATCAATATAGTCACACCATACAGTATGACTCAGCAATGAAAAAAAGAAACCCAAATATTGATTTATGAAACATCTTCAACACATCTCAACTTCTATGACCTAAATGTTTTTTGTGCCACCCCAATCATCTGAAATCTAATGCCTTATGTGACCCTCGTAGGGGGTGGGGCCTAGATGTTGCCTTCACCATGAGACAGAGCCCTCATGAATGGGATTCGTGTCCCGCCAGAAGGGACCTGAGAACTCCTCTTGCTCCTTAAGGTTACAGCAAGAAGACAGTCCTTTATCAGCCAGGCGCTGTTCCCACCAGACATGAACCTGACCCTACCAGCACCCTAATTAATAAAGGTTCCAGCCTCCAAGGACTCTGAGCAGTAAGTTTTTGTCGTTTATAAGTCATGCAGTCTGTGGGTTTTGGCAGCAGCACTCTGAAAGGACTCATCAGGAGAACTGTAATGGCGGGGTGGGGGGTGGGGGGTGGGGATCCATTATATAATATTTTGAAATGACAAATTACAGGGACAGAGAATAAACTAGTACTTGACAGTAGATGCTGAACCTACGGAATATGATAAATGTGGCTACAAAGGGATAAGTAGCACATGGAATCCTCCCCCCCCCCGCCCTGGAAATCGTTCCATATCTTAGGTGATTGTAGAAATCTGCACCCATGGTAAAACTACCAAGTGTAAAAAAAAATCTACACACATGGTAAAAAAGAGCATGTATGCAAACACATGCAAACACACACACACACACACACACACACACACACACACACACACACACACACACAAATGCTCATAACCTGGTAAAATCTGGGTAAGTTTTGTGAGGCATCACTATGGGAAATAGGATAGTAGGTATAGGAGATCTGTGTTGCTATAATCCTATAATCCTCAGTAATCCTAATAGTGAAAAACAATCACTACCATTTGTAGTTAATTCTAGCTTTCCCCAAACTCTTATTCATAGTTTCCTACTTCTAACTGAAGTAGGGTATTTGGAGGCAACCTGTATTTGAATACTGACTCTTAGGTTGCATGAAAAGGGAAAAATACCTTCTCAATCTTCAGTTTACCATTCAGTTTATAAAATAGTGAAAAAGCCTATTGCCACAGATCTATTATGAAGATAAATGAAATACAAGAATTCAGTACACCCAAGTTGCTTAAATGTCTGTTTTCTTTCTCATTAACAATCTAAAACCTAGCTTAATTTATAGATTAAAAAAAAAACATGAACTGAAGCTTTAGCTTTCATTTCCTAAGATAAATACTTGGTAAAACAGAAAACACATCTTTAGCAAGCAAAGATTAGGGGCTGAGATGGTGATGAGGTTGTCTTCAGTTCTTAAGATCTATTTCAGGGAGATAGTACAGTGGCTGGGCTGAAGCAATAGCACAGCGGGTAGGGCGTTTGCCTTGCACGCAGCCAACACGGCTGACCCGAGTTCAATTCCTCCGCCCCCTCGGAGAGCCCGGCAAGGTATCTTGCCTGAACGGCAAAGCCTGGCAAGTTACCCGTGTGTATTCGATTTGCCAAACATAGTAATAAGTGTCACAACGTTACTGGTCCCACCCAAGAATATTTGAGATAAGTACCCGGAGGTCTGGAAGCCAGCAGCCCGTGCTGGGGGAAAAGGCAGCTCAGATAGACAAGGGAACCAAGTAAAGGATATTTGGAGGACTTGCTTGGGATGCGAGATATGTGTTGAAAATAGACTATAGACCGAACACAATGACCACTCAATACCTAATGCAAATTACAAGACCTTAAAGGAACGAGTGAGCAAAAGGGAATGCCCTGCCACAGAGGCGGGGTGGGGTGGGGAGATAGGGTGTGGGGGTGGGAGGGCTACTAGGATCACTGGTAGTGGAGAATGGGCACTGGTGGAGGGATGGGTACTTGACCATTGTATAACTGAAATCCAAGTACATAAGTTTGTAAGTTGACAACTGTACGTCATGGTGTTTCACTAATTTAAATAAATAAATAAATAGATTACTCCTATTCAGACCCCTACAAACATATGTACTTTAGATGAGTTCAAGTTTTTAAAATGACACAAACGTCTATGACAGGATATCATTTATTCTGCCTAACTATAAGAACAGCTTTTAAACACTTATTTTTATTAAAACACCATGATTTACAAAATTGTTCATAACATAGCTGTTTCAGGCATGTAGTGTTCCAACACCACCAGTGTGACCTTCCCACCAATGTCCCCAGTTTCCCTCCCAATCCCAACCTTACCCCCTAGGCATATAACAAATTTACTTCATAATGCTTTCTCCAATAAAACTTAAAGAAACGACAACTAGAATGATCAGAAAATAAATCAGTAAAAGTCAATTTGTGGTTGCTATATGATTTTAACCTACGTAAATGAAGAAATTAAAACTGTTTAATACAATATAATAAAATGCTTATTCTCTTTACACAAGTTTTCAATTTTGGAATCTAAAACACATGGAATCAAGTATTTTTTTGTACCTGGATATCATTATGGTAATAATGATATCTTACCTGTCATTAATAAATTTTTAAAAAATTAAGAATACTTTTAAGTAACAGACTCCCCACAGATAAGCTTTGAGTATGCCATGCTTTTTATTTACAGTTCAACCAGTTAAGCTACAGTAAGCAGAAACTAAGCAATCAGGATTTATCATTCATTGCAGGTTGCTAACAGGGGATTCCTAATAATCTACAGCCCAGTAATTAACGACAGCTAGATTCCCTATGCAGCACTGGCCTGGGATAACTTCCAAAGAAAGAGAAGAATCAAATGTTATTCCTCTAATGTATATTGTTTAAGAGAATGAAATGAGACATACTTAATTTCTACCCTTTAAGCACTGTTTAGGAACAGTCACCAAATACAAAATGTCAGGTGATGCTTGAAGACAAAGTCCCCTGAAGCAATTTTTTTTTAAGTTCTGGCAGAGTTTGGCAAAGGAAATGCTTACCGAGCAAAATAACTTTGTTTCCGTTCCTTCTTCTCTTCCTTGGTATCCATAATACACAATCACAAGTGCAAAGTACTCGGAAAATGTCCTTTTGAATCAATGAGTCATAACCCTGTAAAAAATAATAGATAAGCTGTAAGTTAAGAAGTTTATGAACGCTAACACGAAGAATGCAGAGGGGAGTCGCATGGTCCACAGCAATGGAAGATAAACTTTAACCAGTGGATACAGTCACATGAGTCACACACAAGATAGAACAAATGTCTCAACTGGGGAAGAGAAGACATTTAGAATGGACGTGGTAAAGGATCAATTAAATAAAAGACTGGCGAGAAAGTAATGGGGGTAGGATGATTCCCTGGCACATGGCTGATTCAGGTTCGATCCTCGGCATCCCATAGAGTCCCTGGAGAATGCCAGGAGCAATTCCTGAGAGTAGCATCAGGAGTAACCCCTAAGAATTGCTGGGTGTGACTCCCAAAAGGCAGCTGGAATATTAAACTGTTTTCCCTATGACTTTTATTTCAAAAAAGAGCTAAAATTAAAGCACTGACCTTGAAATATTTTGATCCAGCTCTTAGAGTGCTGGTGTTAAGTCATCTGCTTTGCATGGGGCTGAAACCAATTCTATCCCCAGAGTGACACATCTGGTTCCGAGACCTGCCAGAAGTGACCTCTGAGCACAGAGCCAAGAGTAAGCCTTAAGTACCATCAGGTATGTGGCCCAAAAACCAAAAGGGTAAAAAAAAATAATTTATAAAAACCTCACTGGACTACTAATCATTTTTTTCATATAGTAATAAATGCCTCATATATAATTATGAAAATGGATCACTGAGGTGTTTGAGAAAAAATGTTCTGTCTTTAAAAATAAAAATAACACCACTGTTCTGTTTTATTTTCAGAAACATGCCAGAGAGCACATCCCACTTGAGCGAATGTGGAAATGAAAGTGCCAAGCCTCAGGAAGCGCTTCCTCAGGCTGCTTCTTGGGCTTGCCTCTGTCTCCCTCCCACCTCTGCCACCCTTTCTGCTCTCACTCCTGTTTCCCAAGAGCAGTTTATATCTCTAATAAAAGGTTGTCCCAGGATAATCTTTCTTAAATACTTATTTCATCATGTTCTACGCCTGCTGAAAAATTCCCAGTGCCCAATGACTTCCTAATTCACTAAACTTCCCGTAACGCAAAAATCCTTATTCAAATCTATCCTTTTACTCTGAACAAATATTTGCATAAAAGCAAAAGACATTCACTACTCAAAATTGTTTACTAAGCAGTTCGAGCAGGCCCAGTAACATCTCCGTCATGAGACTTGTTGTTACTGTGTTTGGCATATTGAATACGTCACGGGTAGCTTGCTGGGCTTTACCACGTGAGCAAGATACTCTCAGTTGCTTGCCAGGCTCTCCGAGAGGGGCAGAGGAATCGAACCCAGCTCAGCCAGGCTGGCTGCACGCAAGGCAAACACCCTACCACTGTGCTATCAGTAAACAATTTAATTCTTAATACCTATTATATGAATGGTATCATGGTAAGTACAGAGTAAAGACAATAATTCACAATATTTAAACATAAAAGGAATGTACTTTCTTGAGAGGAGGACACTCAAAATTTCAGGTCAAGAGGCTAGAAACTGTTATTAAAGAGGCTATGTATCACTATAGCCTAGAAGACCATTTGGGCTTGTGCAGGGCCCCCCACATCCATCAGGATTTGAAGGATGAATATATTTTCCTAATGAAAGAGTTCAGGGAAGCAGGTCCAGCTTGAACAATAGCAATAGGACATAACCTTGCCCTGTTGCTTGAAGGTAAAAGGCAAAACTAAACAATGGGAGGTTGTGGGCACAAAGGCATGGGCAGACCTGCCTTCATGAAAGACCTTTGTGTCATTATAAGATGATGAACTTACTCTGAGCATCTGTGTGAGATGCTGCCCACCTACTGGCTGCGCCTCCACCAGACATCACTAAACAATAGCTGCACCTCACAGCAGCGCTCACCACTGAAGCCTCCATCAAACTGACCACAGCTAGTATATGAGAGGAAATCCATTCCACACATTACTGATACACATGGAAGAAAGTACCAAAAGGTGTTATTTCAAGGAGTGTGATATGCCTAGATTGCAGTGGATGGACTTGAGATTATTAAGAACAAGATAGTTTGACTAGAACTAAATTGAAGTAAAGATAGTTAAGGCAGGAGGTCCCACACCTCAGCAGCTGGAATTGAGAGGGGAAAAGAGGAGAATGAATTCGAGAAATGATTAGGAAGCCAATGTGTCCAAAATGAATGACTTATTCATTAGAGAACCCGGGAAAGGTAAAAACACTGTCATCCATGTTTCTGTCAAGGGACTACATAGACTGTCATGATGTGGAGATGACACTATCTACATGAAGGAGGCAAAGAACACACGGAACAAAGAAGCAGAAACAGGCGAGATCATTTTGGGGCACACTGCCTTTGGGATGCTCATGTGATAGTCATCTGGCGACATTTACCAGACATTTGATTACTTTTAAAGCACAGGAGTCCAGTGGAGCTAGGGAAAATGGCAAAAAAAATATCAGCACATGGTCGTAGTTAAGGGATAAAAGAAAACAATAAATGATATGCTTATGAGATCACCTTGGAGGCAAAACAACTATGCACAGAGCTCCAGACAGAAGCACTGACTGTAGTCTCAACTCTGGCAGGTTTTTCCCCAAGGTCCTGACATGGGTTCTACCAAGTAGGGACAATAGGACATGCACATCACTAAAAAACAGGGAGTAACCTGGAGATCTCCAGTGAATATTAAGAACCCACAGATGTCAAGCTCAAGTATGATGGAAGTGATAAAGTAAACCTTTTAGCGTGGTGATGGTACTTCAGGTAAAGAGGCGAGAAAATTCCAGAAAGAGGGACTACTTGTCACAGGTCAGGAGACAAAGTACAGATACTTTTAAGCCAGATATCAGGTCAGCCATGATGCCAGGTCAGGCAGACCACAAGTCACTTATTTTAATATATTATACTACATCACCACTTACTCCCATAGATATCTTCTTTACTTCCACTAAATTGAGGTTGAGAAACACTAATTTCCCTGGCTCAGAAGTAGGAAATGGATGCAAATCATGGTGTGTCCACTTTAAAGCCTTTCAATACCCTTTGGAGCCAGGAAGCATTTTAGAGGTGGTACAGAAAATGTACCGTTGGCCAAAGAGGTAGCATAAGGATTAAAACCCTTGCCCTGAGTCCCACCAACCCAAGTTCTATTACCAATACTGCATATTATTCCCCAAAATGTCTCCAGTGGTCACTTGAGAACAGAGCCAAAAAATTGCCTCTATGAGGCTTCAGGTATGCCTCCCACTCAACCCACCTTCCCTTGCAAAAAAGGTAGAAAGAAAATGCAACCTGGAACCAACTGTCTCAATGCAGAATCTGAAGGTTAAGAATAGGGTATCTGAGACCTCCAAAAGGACCACATCAATGAAATAATGTGGAAATAGAAGCCAGGATGGTTTTACTTCAATCATTTGAATGATAGTGCCAGAACTATAGTACAGCGGGTAGGGCACTTGCCTTACACATGAGCAACCTGGGTTCAATCCCCAGCATTATATATGGTGCCCCCAACCCCACCAGGAATGATCCCTGAGAACATAGACAAGCACTGCAGGATGGGACCAAAAACAAAACAAAAAAAAAAGAAGAAGAATTTGAATGATGAGAAGAAAAAGAGCAGCACAGTATCCAACGCTCATAAGCTCCGTCTCACACTGTGACTAGAAGCCACCGGGCTCCTCTCTGATTCTGAGCCTTAATCCTACCCTTCCCTCAAGTTTACGCTAATCTTGCTACATTCCTCCTGAGCTGGTCAAGTAGAAGGCCCTGCTTTAAAAGTCTTCCTTGACCTTTCAGATACTTTTCACTGTCTTTAACAGTTTATTTCTCTAATCACTTGCTGTGACAATTACATGCTATATATATGAAATGCTACTTGACTTAGCCTGCTCAACCCCACACAAACCATAAATTTCTTCTAGTAAAAAACGTATTTCACATTTTCCTTATACTGTAAAATATCTGACAACGAACTAGGCATCAAAGAAACACATAAGGATTTTAAAAGGCATTAATCTAGACTTGAAGATAAGCCAGTTACATGATCTCAACCCAAGGTTTCCTCCTCCATAAGCAGTATTCTGGATCAGTGTGCATACATTTAAACTGGCATCTCTCAGATGCCAGCAAGGATTAGAGTCAACAGGCTCTTTCTCTTACCCGGGTCCTGGTGGTTTATTTAAAAGTTCCTCTATGCTATGCCACAATATGTGATGATCTGTTTGTTAGATTTCCCCTCATGAATAAAAATGAAGTCATAACAATCTAATTGGAATTTTTTGTATTGCAAGCTGAGCCAGAATCTAATATTTGGTTCCAGTGGAAAAATATTTACAAAAATAAGCACATAAGAAGAAGACAAAATGATCCAAGAACTGACATCTGGTGCTGTTGTATCTGCATAGAACTGAAAAAGATTCTCTCTTTTTTTTTTCAGATTCTTTCAGATAAACTTAAAAATATGCAAATGTATCTTTGGCTTCTTACACTTATCGGAGTTTTTCATGTTCCTTAAATAAGATAGATGCAGTTCTTTCAGGGTATAGGCATACTGACATATTAACCAGAAAGAACTCAGTAAAGGATGCTATAAAAAAAATGATTTGCACAGAGCACCAAGCAGCAGCCTTTATGCTTCAGTGAAGAACCAAGAGCAGCTTAAATCAATATCTAATGGGAACTACATTTTCTATTATAAGTGGTTCTAATGGGCTTCTTAAAAGCTGTTATTTTATTTAATGCTGACTTTTCCTCACATCGAAAAACCCTAGATTTATACAAATACTGAACTATAAGGAATTTCTACATTTATAGCATATTACAGACCAAAAACAATTTTATGAAAGATCAGAAAAGGAATACTCTAAGTATTTCTTTTGGTTCTCTTAGATCAGAACAGTCTTAAACCAAATTGCAGTTTATTATTCTAATATAAATGGCACAAACAAACTCCTTACCTCCTAAGCGGCACCGAAGACCAAGGATTTCTGTGTG